GTGATAGAAGGCACCAAAACTGCTTGCTACACATGGTCTTCAATAATTACAAGAGAGCCTAAGCAATGTAGTATAATAATGTGCTATAGAGGAAAATAAAATTGGAAACAATTTAAATTTTCATAAAAAAGTAGAATATTTAAATAAACTATGAAGCATGTTAGCTAATGGCAAGTCCTCTAAAACACATTCTAAATGGAAAAGAGTGATTTTCAGAGAAACTCAAATAATGTTACCCTGGATTTCAGGAGTGAGATCTGGACTTGGAGAGTCATAATTCTATAGATTCATGAACTAATTGAAATTATTTATTAGGTAAGGGAAGATAGAAAAGTGATTAGGTCCAAGAATTAAATTAAAACCTAGGTCTTCCAGTATTAGAAAGTCAGGGAATATATATATTCTTTCAGTAGATAGAAAGATGATAGAACTTTTGGACTACTTCTTATTTTATCCCTTTTTTGTTTTCTCTTTAGGCAATGCTGCAATGAATATCCTCTTAACAACCTATTTTCATACATGTGACAAAATTTCCCTACATTACATGTTTACATATGTAGGCTTGATTTCAACAATTTAAACTCTCTCAAAAGTGTATGAGAATTTTCAATTCTTTACCCTACCTCCATACCTGGTATCATCAGAATATTTAAATTCATTTCTAACTGACAAGTATGTTTCCATTTCCTTGATGTATATTGAAATCAAGTCTTTTTCTCTCTCTCTCTTACCATACATACACACAAAACCGTTTTAAAATTTTTCTTCTGTAAATTTTTTGTCCATTTTATCGGTTTCTTTCTATACTTAATTTTTGTCAGATGATAAGTGACAAAATGTTATTTAGATGCTGTTATTTTCATTCCTTAAATTAGTGAGTTAGAATTGTTTCTTGTAATTGTTAACTATCTGCATTTCTTTGTTCACTGTTTACAAATTTTGCCCATTTTGCTTTTTTGTTACAGGGGCTTTTAAGGCATTAAGGCTAGTACTCTTCACTGATTCATAGATTCATTATTTCAACAGGTATTTATTGGGTGTTTATTATTTGCCAGACACTCCAGCCAACATCCATATCCCAGATCTTTCTTCGGAGATCTAGATGGTTATATTTACTGGAAATTTCCACTTGAAGAAAGAAAAGTATTAGTACCCATCCACACATACATGGATTGTCAAGGAGAACACACACAGTTCAAAAACACTTACCCTTAAGTCCTTCATAACGACAAAATAAAAACGATACAGTGTGTTATTTGATGAGAGCACTGGCCCAGGATTAGTCTTTCTGTAATCTCTGTATTAAATGGCAAAAATGTTAAATTACATAATGTTTCCGAATTTCCCATTTGTAAAATGGGAATAATTATATCTATATCAGAAAATTATTGTGAGGAGAAAAAAATCAAAACATTTCAAGTGTCATACACAACATATGGTACATTTGGTATTCAGCAGATGTTAGTTCCCCTCCTTTCTCACATTCATCCTTCCTTTAAAGGAGATTCCTTTGACATAATCCAAACACCATGATTACATGATAATCATGTGGAAATATTAAATGGAAGGAAGTGTACAAGTTTCCATTATGTATTAACTTCAGTGTCATTTCTACATACTGGAGGGATTACTCCGATAATTTAAGAAAGAGGAAAACAATCACTGGGTTTGAAACCATAGGGTTTGAAAAAGAAAATGATCACCCCATTTCATTTTACTTCACATACTTCCCCCTCCCACTTTTTTATTCTATGTAATTTCCCCAAGAATAATGTGTGCAATGTGACCCAGAAAGAAGAGGCTTTGCAGAAGAACCCTGATATAGAGCACTAGGGGGTAGGCATAGTATAGAGCCCTGGGTAAGTGATTTCCCCTGTGATGGCGATTTTTTGAATAACAACTCACAGATAGATGTAGAGTTAGTAAGATCCCATCTGGGAAAACACATTTGATAAAATACATAACTAAATATACACTCTTACGCACAAATGAGCACATGTAAAAAAATGGTGTAATCTGAATAAGGCCACTGGATTATATCAATGTCAGTTTTATTTTTATTATGTTGTACTGTAATTAAACATTGTATTTTAGTTATTACTGAGGGAAAATGGGTAAAAGGTATAAAACATCTCCCTTTATTGTTTCTTACAATTGTGTGTACATTTACAATTGTCTGAAAAAGTTTTTTTTAAAGGCATGGTTCTTCTTGTCTAGGGAACTAAGAAAACTCACCCAATTGAAACTTTGTTATATGCCAGGCACTGAGCAGGTGGTTTTACATAAATTATCTCTAGGATAAAAATACTTCCTGGTTTTCCCTAAACAGAACAGTTGCCTGTTCACCTAGAATCCCATGTTACATTAAAGTAAACCAGAATGGGTTTAGTAGACCTTGTTTATTTGTACTACTTGCCTTGTGGTGCTGTAACACATAATTATAAACTTGAAGGCTTAAAACAATACACATTTACTTTCTACAGTTGTGGAAGGCAACAGTCCAAAACCAGTTTTACTGGGCTGAAATCAAGATTAGCAGGGCTATGTTCCCTCTGCAGGGTCTCTCTGTAGGCTCTAGGGGAGAATCCATTTTCTTGACTTTTTCAGCTTCTAAAGCTGCATTCTTTGCATTCTTTGGCTCATGGATCCTTCCTCCATCTTCAAAGCTTAGCATCTCGCTTCAGTTGTCACATTGCCTTCTTCTGTAGTTAAATGTCCCCCTGATCCCTCTTATAAGAATATTTGTAATTGTATTTATGATCTACTTGGATAATCCAGGATATTCTTCCCATCTAAAAATTTTCAACACATATGACACAGAAATAAATCAATGAGAAGTCTATCAAAAAAAATCTCAACATAATCACATTTGCAAAGTCTCTTTCCTAATTTAACAGAATTAGCATATCTTTTCCAAGGACAACCTTCAGGGTACTCACTGTTAAAATGAAGTAAACTCAAGCAGGAGCAGCTAGAGAGCTACTTCCTTTTTGTTTTAAATAGATGTTGAGAAAAATATTTGATGCTGCTACTTCTGATAGTTATATGTGATTAGCCAGTTGGGCCATGATCCACGCCAAGGGTATCCAAAATGCATGAAAGTGCCAGCCTACCAGACAATAACATAATGGGAAAACATGGAAAATTATAGGTTTAAATGCATAAGAAGTATGTGTGGGAAATAAAGTTTGAGCTATCCTGCTATGGAGCATGAACATTCTTGGTACAGTGGTTCTGTTATGTATTATACAGTGCAAATCTACATCTATATTAATTATGTCATTGGGAATGAATCTTTATGTTTTCAATAAGAAGCAAAAGTGCATATCAAGTGGAAAATTAAGTAACAAATTTCATTTTCTTAAGAAAGTAGATGATAAACGTTTAACTTGTAGAAAATATTTGCTGACATTTACAATAAACCAAGAGGACTGTAGTGATATTATCCACCCCAAAAAACTAAAATTTACAAACCAGCTGAAGAAACTTTTGCATCTACTTCAGAAAGTAGTAGATATTTTAATAAGAATGTGTCACATAATGTAGGGCCGGGATACGGGAAAGGCAGTATATACAGAGAAGACAAGTAGTGACTCTATAGCATCTGACTATGCTGATGGACAGTGACTGTAATGGGGTTGGTGGGGGGACTTGATAATGGAGGGAGTCTAGTAACCAAAATGTTCAAGTAATTGTACATTAATGATAACAAAATTTTAAAAAATTAAAAAAAAAAGAATGTGTCACTTTAGCCAGGGAGAGCCAGTGATCAGAAGAGAGCTGGTGATCCAGAGAGAGCAGAAGATGTGTTGACTTCTCATTCTGTGAACAGAACTTCTAATTTAGGTCAAGTTATTTTTCTTCTAATATAATTTAGAATTTTTTGAATTCCAAGCTTTTGTGTGCATGTCAAAAAATAGGAATGAAAGCTGTTAATATGTTGGCTGCATTAGCAAAGGAACTTAGCAAACAATTATTGATGATGGTTTAAAACCAGCATCATCAGGTAATTAAAACAGAAAATCTGTTAATACTAAGAATGATTTTATTAGTTTCATAAAATTCATGGAATAATAATAAATTTTTCATTTTATAGTTTCATAAAGTTCATGGAATAATAATACTAAATTTTTTAGAAAACTTATACTGATGAAAGGGAAACATCCAGCCTTGATATGAATGGCATTGTGAATTCAATTGAAAAATCAACATTAAGGCTGAAATTGTGAGGTAGTGATGTAGAAACATTGTAGAAAGATCAATGTTTCACTAAATTAAGAAACAGCAGAAATATAATTAGGATTGGTTGTGTCACACAGATAATTCATAATCATGTAAACACGATGTGGTATTTTGCAAATCAAAGTAGATATGGTAGTTTCCCATATTTACACAAACACTCGTACACACATAGATACTCTGTGTGCGTGTGGAGGGGGGTATGTCTACACTGTAGCAGCTATAATATGGGCAATTTTCCAGTGTTGGGTTGGATGGTGGTTTCCCAAACGTGAAACAACAAAAAAGGGGGGGGGAAGGGAAGGAAGAGGGGCAAGTATGGGTTCCCGATAAGAAGAGTGTTGTGAATCAAGGGTTATGATGAATACGTGCATCTGAGGTCCATATTTTTAAATGTTTTAATGCTTTCTTTTTTAACTGTGTGACATTCTCTCTAGATGAGAACAGGTCAAATGTTGGAATGTAAGTTTCCAATGTGGAAATTGGTGAAGGAAGAAGGCGAGAAGGAAGATGATGAGATCAGTTCGGGGCATGTGGATTTTGAGGCCCCTCAGGGACGTTCAGACAGTGTGTTCAACAGACAGTTGGCAAAGAGGGTCTGAGGTTCAGGGAAGGGAAGAGCCTGGACAAGCAGATTTGTGAATCCTCTATGCTTAGCAGGAAATGAACAGAGGTGACCCAGGGAGAGAAAACAAGTGGGCTGGGAAGAGGGGAGGCCCAGCCACACCACTAAAGGCGGCAAGGCAGCTTCCTGGCGGGCACTACCACCCCGGCTCTGGATTCAGACAGAGCCGGTCTTGAAAGAGGGCTGTGGGGCTCTGGCTGAGCGCTCTTGGGGAAGTCGGGTAACCTCCCTGTGACCACGCAGGCGACCCTGGGCATCTCGGAGGGATGCTGTGAGCGGAGCAGAGAGGCGGGTAAAGCACCTGTGGTCGGGAAGCCACCCCGCTCCCGCTCTCTCTGTGACTTGCCCTTTGCCACCCGCCCGCGCCCCGCTCCGCGGCTGCCGGGTCCCTCGGGGATGGGGGTAAAGGGGCGGGGCGGGGGCCGAGCTCGGGTGACGCGGCGCTCACGTGACCGGCCGGGCGCCGACGTGGGCAGCAGCCCCCGCGCCCGCCCGCCCGCCCGCCCTGCGGTCCGGTCGGTGCGCCGTCCGCTCCCGTCGCCCGCGCGGAACCAGCTCCCTGAGCTGCCCGGGCGGCGGGCGAGCGGCGAGCGGGCTTCGGCGAGCCCGAGGAGGCGCAGGCTGCCGCGGCCCCGCAGGTCAGTGTGGAGGTGGGTGCTGCCGGCGGCCCGGGGCAGGGGCAGGGGCGGGGGTGGGTGCGGTTAGGGGCCCGGGGCGGCGGCGCGGGGCAGCGGTCCCGGAGGCTGGAGAGGAGGGGGACGCGGGCAGGTGGGGGTGGGCCGCCACCTCGACGCCCCTCCTCTGCGCACTCCATCCTTTCGCGAACCTGAAATGAGCGGGGGTGGGGCGGGAGCCCGCAGTGCGACAGTGAAACGTAGACAGAGCCTGGAAATAACCCCCTCTGGCGCTCCGCACCCCGAGGAGTCGGTGACCTCCGCGCAAATGGGGGTGGGGGCGGGTTGCCCGCAGGGTTGGGGGGCACAGAGACCCAACCCGTTTGGAATGCATCCAGGTCTGGAGCCCAGGGCCTGAGTGGCATCTGGTGGTGTCGGTGGGCGGGAGGGAGGTGGGAGAGGGAAACGTTGGATGAGGAGGGGTAGGGAATTAAGAAAGGGACCTCAGTTCATGCGTCCATCGAGCTCCCAGCCCCTTCCCTTGTATGTCTGTAGGTCTGCGTGACTGTTGTTCCCGGCATTCTGCGAAGCTAGAAAAGGACGAGGAACCTGTCCAGAATCCCTGCAGGTCAGTGAAGAAACGGGGAGGGGCCCTGAACGGGGACCCAGATTGGTAGGGAGTGTGGAAGATAAGGGCTGGGCAGAATGTGGGACCCCACTGCCCACCTCCCAACACATTTACATACACTACGCCATGCGCCATGCTGAGCAAATGTAGAGAAAATGACAGGGCCTTCTAGAGAGAAATGGTTGGCTCACAGTGCGTGGGAGGGATGGGGGGGGGGTGGGGATGGGTGAGCAGAAGGCATGCTTGGAGGCTGGGCCTGGTAAGGGAAACACTGACCAGAGGGGACATGGGGATACTCTCTGGACCTGCATTCCACCCACAAGCCCTCAGTCTCCCTGATCTCCTCTTTGTCTTCTCTTTCTCTCCACCCCACCCCACCCACAATGCCAGGAAAAGAAGGGAAAATCTCAACATGGAAAAACTCTGCAATGAAAATGAAGGAATGCCTGAGAACCAAGAAAAGATGGAAATCAAAGAACAGTCGCAGGATGCAGGAAAACCAGAAGTAGCTTGTACTCTAGAAGACAATGAAAAGTTGAAAAGCGAGGGAAAGACAGAAGTTGAGGAAATGCTAGTGGATAAGGAAAAGCCAGAAAGTGCAGCAAAGCCAAAAGAAGAAGGAAAGCCAGAGAGTGAGGGAGAGCCAGAGAGCCAGGGAAAGCCAGTGATCCTGGGAAAGTCAGTGAGCCAGGGAGAGCCAGTGATCCACGGAGAGCCACAGAGCCAGGGAGAGCCAGTGATCCACGGAGAGCTAGTGAGCCAGGGAGAGCCAGTGAGCCCAGGAAAGTCAGTGAGCCAGGGAGAGCCAGTGAGCCAGGGAGAGCCAGTTGGCCAGGGAGAGCCAGTGAGCCAGGGAGAGCCAGTAATCCGTGGAAAGCCAGAGAGCCAGGGAGAGCCAGTGATCCATGGAGAGCCAGAGAGCCATGGAGAGCTGATGATCCAGAGAGAGCCAGTGATCCAGGGAGAGCCAGGGATCCAGGGAGAGCCAGTGATTCAGGGAGAGCTAGAGAGGCAGGGAGAGCCAGTGATCCAGAGAGAGCCAGTGATCCAGAGAGAGCCGGTAATCCAGAGAGAGCTGGTGATCCAGAGAGAGCCGGTGATCCAGAGAGAGACAGTGATCCAGAGAGAGCCGGTGATCCAGAGAAAGTCGGTGATCCAGAGAAAGTCGGTGATCCAGGGAATGCCATTGATCCAGGGAATGCTGATGATCCAGGGAATACCAGTGATCGAGGGAATGCCAGTGAGTGAGGGACAGCCAAAAGAAGAAGGAAAACCAGTGATTGAGGGAAAGCCAGAGATAGAGGGAGAGCCAGTGAGTGAAGGAAAGTTAGAGAATGAGGAAAATCCTAAAGAAGAAGGACAACCAGACAGGGAGGAAAAGCCAAAAGAAGAGGAACAGCCGGCCAGTGAACCGAGGGCTGCTGGAAAGCGCCCAGCTGGGGATGATGTACCCAGGAAAGCCAAAAGAAAAACCAACAAGGGGCTGGCTCAGTGCCTCAAGGAATATAAGGAGGCCATACATGATATGCATTTGAGCAATGAGGAGATGATAAAAGAGTTTGATGAGATGGCTAGGGTGGAGGACGAGGTGAAGAAAACCAGGCAGAAATTGGGGGGTTTTATGTGGATGCAGAAAAGTTTACAGGACCCCTTCCACCCAAGGGGCCCCAGGGAACTCAGGGGTGGCTGCAGGGCCCCACAAAGGGGCTTTGAAGACATTCCCTTTGTGTAGTGCCCCTAACAGGCATTTGCCAGGCCCTGTGCTTAATCCTTATGCTAATACTTCGCTTTAGGTGTCATACTTGTTATCAGTAGCCTTTTGACCCAACTAAAGCGCTCTATCAGTTGGGATTTTCACCCATGTGCATTGCAAAGACCTTATGATTCTTGGAAAAATAAAGCAGCGTATACTATCATCTACAGAGTTGGTCCACTTTTGTAAAAAGCATAAATTTGTATAAAAGTTGAAAAGCGATGCACAGGAAAAATGGAAAATTTTGTTCACTAAAAGGTTGAGTGGTTTTGTGAACTGTGAGATTTTGGTTGATTTATTTTCTTTGCTTTCTTTCTACTCATCTGTTCATTTTTTCCTAAAGAATACAAACTACTTTCTTATAAAGAAATACTAAAATGTAAAAAAAGGAAAAGACTACATTAAAAGCAATACAAAGAATTGCTCAGTGAGTTTATGAAGGCAGTGGAGGCACTTAAAATTCTTGCTGTCATTACTTAAAATGGTATATAAAACTCATATTACATCTGGGGCTTACATCTAGAGGAATCAACCTAGCAATTAACATCCACTGCTGTAAAGACAGTCTTTTCATCTTTTTATCTGTGAAAAGGTAATACTACTTGTCTCACAGGATTGCTGAGTAAATTAGATGAGGTACTGTGTATGTGATTTGTGTTGGGCTGGCTTCTAATTTTTTTTCCAACACTAGCAAGACCAGGACTCCATCAGACACTTGGAAGAGGGTAGAGGTACATCTTTTCTGTGCCGAGGAGTATATCCAGGAAGACAGGTGGGTACCACCCTCCCCTGGGTACTGCCATATCTACTGGGCACTATGTGCCGTCTCATGAGTCCTGCACCCTCCTAAAGCCCCAACTGCTACTGATGGGCTGATGTCCTCAAAGTGACAAAGACCAGTTGATTTCCCTGGAGTTCACACAGTAAGTCCCAAATCTGCTCTGCCCCATGACACCTACAGAAGTGAGGATAAAGCCCTTTATCTCACTTTAGAGTTATACTTACCCAAGTGGGTAACACCTCAGTGATGCCTTGGCCCTTAATGGATTTCAGATTTTTTAGCAAAACAATCCTTTCTGTGTTTGCTTTGTAAGTGGTGCATTTTTGCATATAGTCATCCTTCCACCAGATTCAGTTATGGGAGGCTGGGATAAAATTTGGCATGCACTCTTTTTCTCATGTCAGTGTGTTGTCTGCTTGATTCTTCTTTCATAGAGGAAATTATCTCCTAGGAAACTACTGCCAGGTCCCACCTTACAAGGTTAGCACAGCTACCCACATTGTGGTTTTTAGAGCATTGCTACTCAAATAGTGGCCTAGGGACTGGCTGCACCAACATCACCTGAGAGAGAGTTAGAAATGCAGAATCTCGGGTCCCCATCCCAGACCTGCTGAATCAGAATCTTCATTTTAACAAGATCTGCAGGTGCTTCCTGTGAATATTGAAGTTTGAGAAGCATTAGTTTATAAGCAGACTATTTGGCCTCCCCACTCTCACCTTCACCTGAAATATGTGCCCAGAAGGATAAATAACGTATGTGCTACATAAGACACACATCACAGGTTATTAAATAGACCTCTACATTAGTAGAGCCTGAAACAAATTCAGTGAGTCAAGACATGTAATATTTTAATGAAGTGGAATAGATAGAACTGATTAGAGCCAAATAGTAAACACTATATTACAGGCAGGCAGTATTGTTTGGTGAAATTTGTGTTTCAGTTGAGTATATGTGTATGTTTGTACCCCCTGAGTTGTGATGAAAAATGTATTTCTGATTGTGAGCTGAAGTTTTAAAAAATTTGAGAGACATGCATTGGACTCTATTTCTCAAAGCACAATGTGTCCTCATCATGGTACGTCTAATGCCTAGCACAGTGTCTGACAAGTAATAGGTTCTTTTTTTTCTGCTTTAATCTTTATTATGTCCCTCCTTCTACTGACTTTGGGCCTCATTTGTTCTTCCTTTTCTAGTTTCATTAATTGTGAGTTTAGACTGTTCAATTGGGATTAATCTTCTTTCCTGAGGTGGGCCTGTATTGCAATATATTTCCCTCTTAGCACAGCCTTCACTGCATCCCACAGATGTTGTGGTGTTGAATTATTGTTGTCATTTGTTTCCATATATTGCTTGATCTCTGTTTTTATTTGGTCATTGATCCATTGATTATTTAGGAGCATGTTATTAAGCCTCCATGTGTTTGTGGGTTTTTTCGTTTTCTTTGTGTAATTTATTTCGTTTCATACCTTTGTGATCTGAGAAGCTGGTTGGTACAATTTCAATCTTTTTGAATTTACTGAGGTTCTTTTTGTGGCCTAGTATATGATCTATTCTTGAAAATGTTCCATGTGCATATGAGAAGAATGTGTATCCTGTTGCTTTTGGATGAAGTGTTTGGTAGATGTCCGTTAGGGCCATTTCTTCTAATATGTTGTTCAGTGCCTCTGTCTCTTTACTTATTTTCTGTTTGGTTGATCTGTCCTTTGGAGTGAGTGGTGGGTTGAAGTCTCCTAAAATGAATGCATTGCATTCTATTTCCCCCTTTTCTTCTATGTTAAAAACCTTTTTACAGTGGAAAATTCCAGACATTTACTATTTAAAGTGAACATCATTATCCAGCTTCAAAAACAGTCATTCCTGCCAGTCTAAAACTTCATCCACCCTCTCCCAATTATTATTATTCTTTTTTAATTATTTTTATTTTGGTATCATTAATCTACAATTACATGAAGGACATTATGTTTACTAGGTTCCCCCCTTCACCAAGTCCCCCCGACATACCTGTTCACAGTCACTGTCCATCAACATAGTAAGATGCTGTAAAATCACTACTTGTCTTCTCTGTGTTGCACAGCCCTCCCTGTGCCCCCCCAACACTATGCATGTTAATCGTAATGCCCCCTTTCTTTTTTCCCGCCCTTATCCCTCCCTTCCCACCCGTCCTCCCCAGTCTCTTTCCCTTTGGTAACTGTTAGTCCATTCTTGGGTTCTGTGCTTCTGCTGCTGTTTTGTTCCTTCAGTTTTCTTT